CTTCTCTGGTTCAGTGAGGAGGTTCCAGTACTTATTGAAGAGCTTCTTGGGTTCAGTGAGGAGTTTCCAGTAGTTATTGAAGAGCTTCTTGGGTTCAGTGAGGAGATTCTAGTAATTATTGAAGAGCTTCTCTGGTTCAGTGAGGAGGTTCTAGTAGTTATAGACAAGACAGCCAGGCCTTGCAACAACCTGCAAAGAACACCTCCCAGTACCTGGAGTTCACACTCATCTTGGCTGAGGAACTGATACCCAGGAACAGGTTCAACATGTCAACCTGCAAATATGTTCATACATTTTTGAGATCCTGCTGACAAACGGGAGCAAAATCTGATTTTTAAATTTTGTTAATGTTTCACACTCAACATGAATGAAGTCCCGTTGTACACTACAGTGCACATGTTGTCAAAGTTGAATAAAGTTAAGTTTTTTAAATAAATCTTTGCAATGTGTTTTTTACCACCTCAACACTTAATTTATAAATAAATAAATAAAACACATTTTACTCCCCTGGGTCTCAAAGGGGACGACGTGTAACTGTTGACATGAAGACGTGAATGAAGAGGCGAATGAAGAGGCGAATGAAGAGGTGAATGAAGACGTGAATGAAGACGTGAATGAAGAGGCGAATGAAGAGGTGAATGAAGAGGCAAATGAAGACGCGAATGAAGACGCGAATGAAGAGGTCGAATGAAGACGCGAATGAAGAGGCGAATGAAGAGGCGAATGAAGAGGCGAATGAAGACGTGAATGAAGACGCGAATGAAGAGGCGAATGAAGACGCGAATGAAGAGGCGAATGAAGAGGCGAATGAAGAGGCGAATGAAGAGGCGAATGAAGACGTGAATGAAGAGGCGAATGAAGAGGCGAATGAAGAGGCGAATGAAGAGGCGAATGAAGACATGAATGAAGAGCTGAATGAACACGTGAATGAACACGTGAATGAAGAGGTGAGGTGCTGACATACCCGAGGAGGTGTGGAAAGACTGTGACCTCAGCGGTCTGACGGTGGGCGTGGCCTCGCGGTCGATGTAGAAGTCTCCGCCCTTCAAGGGGGAGGGGTCTGAATCTGCAATGTCTGATGGGAAAAAAAACGCGCCAGTTAGCCTTTCTTTAGAAGATTTGATATTACTTTGATTGTTTATCATTTGGTTTATTATTTGAAATAATTTGTCCTGTTTTGTTTTAAACAGAGCCCAGTGATGAAATTGTCAAATCAAATATTTCAGTTGCTTCTTGTGGGTTTGATACTTTGTCTCAAATCAATTGAAGTGAATCCAAATGTTCAACGAATCGTGACTTCTGTCAGGAGACTTTGTGTTTCTTTTAAAAGCAAATCTGAATCTGAGCTGAATTTAAATTTAATTGCAACTGAATTGTATCTAACTTTAATATTCTACACCGTCTTTTCTTACCAGGAAGTGAAGACGAGGACAGAGTCCTGGAGAGACCCTGCAGAGACAAAAGAAGAATATTGAGGACAAAGAAAAAGAAGAAGAAGAAGAAGAAGATGTCCCGTTGGACAGACGGAGGTCACATACAGTTGAGTCAGTCAGCGACAGGTGAGACGACCTGTTGCTGTCGGCCGGCTGCTGTTGATGCACCATCATCATGGACTCCGCCTTCTTGATGATGTCATACATGCGGAGGATGAACCCTTCTCGCTCCAACGGCACGATGAAGTCTCTGTGGATCTGAGACATTGATTTTATTATATACTATACTATACCCTTATACTTCAAAACAGTTAAAACAACATCCCAGCATGAAACACAAAAAAATATAAAAAAAACATATTCAAGCAGACTGAAGGAAAACGATCACATTCATATATAAAGAAGGTAAAGTATTAACAGATCGACCAATAGCTTTATTAAATATAGAATATTAATAACTCACCTCAATTCTTTTAGTTAGACTAAAACCATTATTCCTAATATAATAAACCCCGACCAGGTCTCCACTAGAACTGTGAATATAATAAACAAAGAGCGTTTATTCTAATGTTGGATCACGTTTGTTCTCCTGGTGTTTTATATTTGGTTCAGTTGATTAAAAATTATATAAATACACAAAAGAAATTAAACCGTTTACAGAAACTCTAAAATAAGAGGTAGAATATAAAGTTATCACTGTATGCAGACAATGTGATCCTCTACATCAGTGATTCTCAACTGGTGGGTCACGGACCCGTTTTCAGTGGGTCGCGGGCCTTTGCCTGAAAATAAATAAATCCTGTGCTTTTATTTTGAAGGGGATTTTTTATGCAGCGGAGTGCCATCTATTCACACTCCTTAACAGTATTTGTTGTTAATGCCTTGTAATGATAATAGACAACCGCCATTTCACAGCATAGAAGAACACCCGCAAAGTTTGTTTTCATGCTAATTGAGCGAAACGCAAGTACGACACAGACTACATGAGATATGGATTTATTACGTTGAGGACAAAAGAGGGCAAAAACCTCAGTGTGTTTTGTGCAGCGAGATTCTGGCAGAAGAAAACATGAAGCCGTCAAAACTGAAGCGGCATTTGGAAACAAAACACCGTCTCTAAAAGATAAACCTGTTGAGTACTTTTGAAGACGACTTCAAGACCTGAGGACATCACACAAGTGTCTTACTTACCTGCAGCCATGGACATGGACATGTTGGATCAATCAGCAGAGGATGAACTGAAAACTATACCTCTGTCAAATGACACTGTAAGTAGACGAACTGAAGACATGTCGGATGACATCAAACAACAGACCACAGCTCGAATTAAGGCAAGTGGTCATTTTGCATTACAAATGGACGAATCTACAGACGTCACAAACAAAGCAGTTTTACTCGTTTACGTGAAACATGTATGGGACAAGGACTTACAGGAACAATTTCTCTGCACAAGAGAGCTCCTACACTACGACTGCAGAGGACATTTTCAGCTCAGGTTCAAACTGCTCCATCTTTTTATTAAATACATTTGAGAAGTTGAAAATGTTCCTCGATTGTAAAGGGTGTGGTAAGGACCCAGGAGCAGTACTACAGACACACTGGATAGTTGGAATCAAAGCTTTATTTTCCACTGGACACACAACAGGTAACAGTCTTTGATAAACACAGATGGATAATCCCACACGGTGGAACGACATGCCGTTAAAGGAGAAGGCTGACAGAATCCTGAGGAAACAGCGGCAGGATCTCGTGGTCGGGGACAGAAGACTGAGTGAATTACCAGGGAAGAGGCAAGGTGGATAAGTCCTCCGAGGCCGCAGAGCCAGAGTCCACAGCCGGGTGGGTGGAGGAGGTCTGGAGGTAGGGTTCCTCGGGCCCGGAGGAAGGGCCCTCATTGTCCGCACAGGGAACCTGCTGGGTGTTCCCGGCAGGCGTCTTAGTCCTGGCAGGTTGTTCCGGGTGCTGCCGATGAAACCTGGCAATGATTCGGGGGTCGCAGATGTTACAAGCCGGAACCCATTGCCTCTCCTCCGGACCGTATCCCTCCCAGTCCACCAGGTACTGAAGACCTCGCCCCCAGCGGCAGGAGCGCAGCAGGCGCTGAACCGTGTAGACCAGACCTCCTTCGAAGAAGCGAGGAGGCGGAGCAGCCGGCACCAAGGGACTCTCCCGGACAGGTTTGACCTTGGAAACGTGGAACGTGGGGTAGATGCGCATGGCTCTGGGGAGCTTGAGCCTCACTGCTGCCGGGTTGATGATCCTCTCGATGGCCCGATGAATCTTGGACCCAGCTTCTTGGACTTCCCAGCTTCCCGGGTTGACAACCACACCCTCTGACCCACCTGGTAGATGGGGGCTGGAGTGCGGTGTCGGTTAGCCGCTGTTGCATAGCGGTCAGCAGACCGGAGTTGTGTTGCTCGGGCCCTTGCCCAGGTCTGGCAGCAGCGCGGATGAAGGTCTGGACTGAAGGGCAGGAAACCTCCTTCTCCAACGTGGGGAACAGAGGTGGCTGGAACCCATAAGCACACTGAAAAGGTGACAAGCCTGTGGCGGAGCTGGTCAGGGTGCTATGAGCGTACTCCACCCCACATCAACTGGCGGGACCAGGAGGCATGATTCTGGGAGACCATGCAGCGGAGGGCTGTTTCCATCTCCTGGTTCTTCCTTTCCGTCTGACCATTGGATTGGGGGTGAAAGACAGACTGACGGTGGCCCCCAGCAGAGCGCAGAATTCCCTCCAGAAGATGGAGGTGAACTGAGGACCTCGGTCGGAGACTACGTAGACTGGAATCCCATGCAGGTGGAAGACATGCAGGGAGATGAGTTCTGCCGTCTCTTTAGCAGATGGGAGCTTGAGTAGAGAAATAAAATGGGCCAGCTTACAAAATCTATCGACTACTGTCAGGATGGCAGGGTGGCCCTCAGATGGTGGTAGCCCAGTGACAAAGTCCAGGGAGATGTGGGACCATGGACAATGAGGCACTGGGAGAGGCTGCAGGAGGACGGCCGGAGCCTGGTGAGAAGGTTTGTGTTGATTGCACACTGGGCAGGCGTTGGTGAATTCCCTTGTGTCCTCGTTGAGCGAGACCCACTAGAAATGCTGCTCCAGAACGTCCTGGGTCCTCTGGATGCCCGGGTGGCAGGTAAGTCTTGAGGAGTGTGCCCACTGGAGGACGTCAGACCAAAGGCCCTGAGGGACGAACAGGCGGTTAGGAGGGCACGCGCTGGGACCGGCTTGACCCATAGTCGTGGCCCTCACTGATTCCTCAATCTTCCAGGTGAGGACAGCTACTTGGCAGGAGGCAGGAAGGATGGAAGAGGAGCCAGAGGTAGGTTCCTCCTCCCCCTGGAACTGACGGGACAGCGCATCAGCCTTGACATTGCGGGACCCAGGGTTATAGGAGCGTGTGAAGTGGAACCGGGTGAAGAATAAAGACCACCTGGCCTGTCGAGAATTGAGTCTCTTGGCTGTGCGGATGTACTCAAGGTTCTTATGGTTGGTCCAAACCAGGAATGGGAGCTTGGTCCCCTCCAGCCAGTGACGCCACTCCTCCAGGGCCAGCTTCAGTGCTAGTAGTTCCCGGTTGCCAATGTCATAGTTTCTCTCGAGCGGGGGAAAGCCGACGCGAGAAAAAGGCGCAGGGATGGAGCTCTGGTCAGCGACAGACCGTTGGGACAAGACACCCCCAACCCCTATGTCAGAGAAATCCACCTCCACCACAATTGTCTGTCCGGATCCAGGACTTGGAGGATGGGTGCTGAGGTGAACCTGGACTTCAGGTTCTGGAAGGCCCCTTCGGCTGCAGAAGTCCACAGGAAAGGAATCCTGGAAGAGGTGAGGGCAGTGAGGGGAGAAGCGACAGAGCTGTAATTCCTGATGGACCTCTTAGAGAAATTGGCGAACCCCAGGAAACATTGAAGCTGCTTGCGGGAGTTTGGGACAGACCAGGTAGTGACGGCAGCAACCCTTGCGGGGTCCATCTTGATGCTGCCCTGGGAAACGATATACATCCCAGGAATGAAACCGTGGGAATGTGAAAATCGCTCTTCTCCGCCTTCACAAAAAAAAAGTTCAGATCAGTATGTCGTCGAGGTAGACGAATACGTGCTGGTCCAACATGTCCCGGAGCACGTCGTTCACCTGGGCCTGGAAGATGGCAGGGGCTTTGGTTAAACCGAAGGGCATCATAAGGTACTCGTAATGTCCTTTAGGTGTGTTGAATGCCGTCTTCCACTCATCTCCCTCTCTGATCCGGACCAGGTGATAGGCGTTGCGGAGGTCGAGCTTGGAGAAGATGGTGGCTCCTTGATGTAACTTAAAGGCCGTTGCGACGAGTGGCAAGGGGTACCGGTTTTTAACCGTGATCTCATTTAAGCCCCGATAGTCGATGCAGGGTCTGAGGGTTTTGTCCTTCTCCACGAAGAAAAATCCAGCCCCTGTGGGAGAGGACGAGGGGCGTATGAGCCAGGGAGTCGTTAATGTAATTGTCCATCGCCTTTCTTTCAGGAGCAGACAGGGAATAAAGGCGCCCCTTAGGTGGGAACGTACCAGGATAGAGGTCAATGGCACAATCATAAGGATGGTGGGGAGGAAGAGCCTTGGACTTGTTGAAAACCTCCTTAAAGTCCAAGTATTCAGCGGGAACCCCCGTAAGTTCAGGCGTGAAACTGGTGAGAGAGGCACCCCATGGTGCGGCGGCTTGTTTCAGGCAGACTAGATGACAGGACTGGCTCCAACCCCGAAAAGCTCCGTAGTCCAGTCGATGTGAGGATTGTGTCGACGCAGCCAGGGGTATTCCCAGAATGAGGGGGATGTGAGGGGTTTGCAGAATGTGGAAGCTGATGGTCTCGTGGTGGTTGCCGGACAGCAGCATGTGGACCGCAACGGTTTGGTGCGTCACCGTCCCCAGAAGATGAACAGCTGTAACAGACTGGGGAAGAGGTATCCGGTCAATCCCCAACTGTGTAGCGAGTTCCTCGTCCATAATGGACGCGTCTGCTCCAGAATCCAGGAAGGTGGAAATAGTATGGGAGCCCCCGGGTAGTAGTAGCTGGGCGTGGAAAAGTGGTCGTTGACAGGCGGAGGGTCGGGAAACTGCTTGGCTCACCAGTACTTCCTTATTTACTAGTGAGCCCGGGCTTTTAACGGGCAATTGTGAGCAAAATGACCGCCTGGCCACAGTACATGCAGAGATACATGGCGCCGCTCTCGTTCCTCCGTGGATAGTCTAGTACAGGGGTCGGCAACCTTTACTATCCAAAGAGACATTTTGCTCTATTTTCCACCAAATAAAATGTGTCTGGAGCCGCAAAAGCTATTTGATATCACAGCTTATAAAGTTTTGTATATAGTTATATTATTTATACAAAAACTATAGTTTGTTGTATTTATGAAATTATAGAACAAGAATAAAGACAATTCTTGACATTTTATTGCTATTTTACCTGTTAGAGCAATATCAAACTCTTATGAAGAGGAGAGTTCATCTCCAGCGTGACACTTTTCAGTAAATGCTGTGTTTGTTCTGGAAGTGTCTTTCAACATTATATTGTTTGCACATATCAAGCATACAGTAAGTCAGCATCGTTGGCAGTGAAAGCAAATGAATACGTCCACGCAGAATTAAACTCTCTATTTTCCTCCATGACTTTTCTTTTTTTGGATTTATCCATTGATAGTTTACAGAGGGCGGGGGTCTGAAAATCATGATTAGCCACCTGCAGGGAAAAGCTCTTGACAGGTGTAATAGCATGTGACGCACATTTTAGTTGACAAAATATGAAAACATTTT